CACATAGACACACACACACACACACAGACGCACACACACACGCAGACACATAGACATACTTACACACACACACATAGACACACACACACACACACAGACGCACACACACACAGACACACAGACATACTTACACACACGCACACAGACACACACACGCACACTGACAGACACACATAGACACACACACACACGCACACACACAGATGCACACACGCAGACACATAGACATACTTACACACACACACATAGACACACACACACACACACAGACGCACACACACACGCAGACACATAGACATACTTACACACACACACATAGACACACACACACACACACAGACGCACACACACACAGACACACAGACATACTTACACACACGCACACAGACACACACACGCACACTGACAGACACACATAGACACACACACACACGCACACACACAGATGCACACACGCAGACACATAGACATACTCACACACACGCACACAGACACACACACGCACACTGACAGACACACATAGACACACACACACACGCACACACACAGATGCACACACGCAGACACATAGACATACTTACACGCACGCACGCACACACACACACACTCGCATAGACACACACACACACACACGCGCACACAATTTGCATAATGAGCATGAAGCCTATTTTAGGACCACTGTATCAGCAATTTCATGACAATTAAACACATCCTGCCTAACTGCTGTTACTATAATATCTGAATAAATGAAATAATGCATCAATATATTAAAAAAATAAAATAAAATAAAAATAAAAAAGTATGTCATTTAATTTGCACCGCATTAACACATCCTGGTTATTGTTGTACCACCTTTGATTAAAATAATTGACCATTGTACAGTATTTATTTTTATTGTATGACAGTAAACACTTATTAAATTTTACATTTACAAAATGTATACACACACACACACACACACACACACACACACACACACACAGTATAATGGTGATTCTAATTAAATTCTCAAATTCTGGAATTTAGTAAGTTATATCTCATTTCTATATATATATATATAAATGAGAGTATTTCATAAAAAACACATTAAAAAATAAAAAGTCCTAAAAATAGGCTCAACGTGACTGTTTATTTTGAGATATATATATATATATACACACACACACCTTTTTTAATTTGATTACAATAGAATCAAAATTGGTTAGGATGAAAAGGAAATTTGGTCAAAAATTTTATTTTATGAAATGTTAATGAAATGTGTTTTATAAACGCATACAACATCACTGCGCTGATCTCCAGAAGCACTCTGTGAGAACTCACTGATCAGCTTTAGTGGAGGGGAAACTGATCAATCAATAATGACTCATTACTGTAGTAAACGATGACAGAAATGAGCTCTGTGTGTGTGTGACCGCTGTAAAAATGAATCTATATTTGTGAGGTCTGCCCTCCACTCTTCATCTTCATGGGAACATGTCATTTAATTTGCACCGCATTAACACATCCTGGTTATTGTTGTACCACCTTTGATTAAAATAATTGACCATTGTACAGTATTTATTTTTATTGTATGACAGTAAACACTTATTAAATTTTACATTTACAAAATGTATACACACACACACACACACACACACACACACACACA